GAAAACCATGTACTTCATAATAAAAGCGCAAAAATTCTTGAGTAGCCTGAGGTACTATTTCATCTGCGTTCTCCCTTAATTTAATTAGGAAAACGTATCTGTCAATTAAAAATCCTATAAAGACTGCTAAATAAGCAACTGGGACTTCAAATTTAGAGTTTGTTTAAAAAGTTGTGCTTCAGAAATATATTGAATGAACAAATAGAAGATCAAAGAGCATCTTGTTTAATTTGCAAATAGTATGTAAAAGCTAGAATAAAGGTGATCTTTATTAGTTTCGAATTCTTTGCTAATTATATTCCTTGGTAAGAATAATAGATCTATTCACACCACTTTTTAAAAAAAAATCAGAACTTTTTAATAAAGTTAAAAAATTTAACTAAATGAATAGAATTTGCTAAGAATAAAATTAGCACGACTATTGACTATGGAAAATCAAATTCAACAGCAGATAATTTTTTTAAATTTATTACTTAATACTAATGCTTAGAAAAACTATTTCAAGTCTTTTAATTATTATCGAACAATATTCCCCATTTAATTAACTGCATTTGTGATGTCAGCTGTTTCTTTGAAATTATAGTTCTAATTATAACCACCAAAACCTAACACAAATAACACCGCATAAGAAATCCTTTAAATATTAACTATAAAGAAATATGCTGAAAAAATTCAATGAACCCTTAAAAATAGTAAGTTCTAAAATTTAAAAGCATTTTTGAAGAAAAAGATTAATAATAATTTTAACACTGTTCGTCGATTGATTTCAAATTCAGAAATTGCAAGAAAAAAATTACGGATCACATATACGAGTCACATAAATAGTCATTTAATAATGGAAACTTATTACATAATGTATGACATAATATTGTTGACATAATGCATGGCATAATAGTAACTGATAGGAATTGTTTAGTTTAGCAATATGACCAATTTTTCGAAAATCTGCATATTAAAAATTATTCTCAGTACCTTTCTTGGAAATTCGATATATATTCAAGAAAACATGCACCTCACATTCTCATCTCATTTCTAAAGCTTCCTTTCTGAAAGACAGACTAGCCACTATTCAATTGCTTTAAAAAATGCACTCAATATGTAATAATAAAAAGAATAATTTGTGAGTGTCTCTCGTTATGTCAGTATTTCGCTCTGAAGCTTTTGTGTTAGGGTTCATAATTCAAACAGCAGGTATAAAAGAAGTCCCGACCTTAGAAATCGTTACAAAAATTTTTAATTAGTCAGTCTGGAGGCATGAAAATTTCTGATCGAGGTCTAACATGAGTCATTTTTGTAATTTGATATGTAGACAATTCAGTATTTTTTTTTCAATTTCAAAAGATGTGTTGATAGCTTATTGCTCATTATTTCCTTATCACTCATTCTTTTACAAGTTATTATTAGATATGCATTGATAAATTCCAGATAGTATAATTAAAAATTTTAAAAGTATGCGAACTATTATTTGATTTTCGCCTGCTGAAATATGTTTCTAGGTATCTAAATATTATCGAATCACTGGTTGAAAAATTGGAATGGTTGAAAAATTGAATTGAAATTAAAAAAAATATTTATGTACTAAAGTGCAAAATTATTAAAGAAAACTGGTTGATTGAGGTAATTATGACACGTTAGCTGCAATGAATAGCATTTATATTGGAGCCGGATTATACTGCTTACCGTTAATTTTTTTCTTCTTTTGTATCATGAACTACATGCGTAATCTAATAACGTAAAGTAAGAGAAAAATGCAGTAAATAACAGGATTTGTTTCAGTTTCTTTATCTCTTATGACCTATACCTTTCAGTTTTGAGCAAAGATTACATAGTGCTGAAGGGTGTTACATTGATAATTTACTTTCTGTTTTTCCCCTTACGAGGAAGCGTTACTCAGCTAGTCAGTAATATACCGAAGAATTTTGCTCGAAAAGCATTCTAAATTGCAATTATAAATGTTATTAATAAAAGGACTCAATGAGAGAAATCTAAATATTAATGAAATATAACATATTAATTGTCCAAAACTGTTTGAAATAAATCATTGGACTTTCAATAAAACTGTTTCTCATGTTACATTAAACACAAAGAAAAAAGAGCGGACAAAACTACCTGAAAATGGAAAAATATACCGTGCTTCTGACTCTATGGAAAGACAAAAAATCTTGGTAATTTCTATAGAAGTGTTTCGGCAAAATTAGCAACAAATTATGGTTTTATAATATGTGATAATATTATGTAAATGTGGTACAATTTAGTAAATTCCTCTTGATACCTTAGAACACGGAATAAAAACAACCATTTCTTTTGGTAAATTTACTTTTCAGCTTTGTATTTTTTTCTAAATAAGAACTATAACATTGGAAACGAAAATTGCTCATAAACTGTTACCACGATAGAAAATAATATCAAATTACTGGTTTAAATGCGCCATAGTTTGGTTTTATTAACCAGAATCATGAGTTTCTTCGATGAAATACAAATACTTAGCAATAAACTTAGCATTAAGTGAATTTAAATCTTAACCGACATGCATATTTTTTCATTCATGTACTATCGTTCTAACCCACATTAGTTCAGTTTTCTCAAATATGGTATACGCATTTTTGAAATACAATAAAAAATTCACTCGTTGTTACGTATCTTACAGTCAATTTACTACAATTAAATATCTTACAGTTAATTTAACTCTTATTTTAGTAACATACAACCTAACAAATGGGCGAGAATGATTTTAAATTATTTATCTAAATACAAATACAAAAAAATATGAATTTATGTTTCTATTTCATTTAATTAATAAAAAGCAATTTAAATATAATGAATCATTTTTTTACCCGAATGCATATTTTTTAAACAAAAAACAGGTATTATCGTTCTTAGTCAAATTTTTTCCGTTTTCTTGAATATGGAATATGTTATCCTGAAACAAAAAAGTATCACTAATTATTATTAAGCAAAATTAAGTCAAATTAGTGTTTTTATTTTTGTTATTCCTATATTTATTCTTTTTTCCTTTAGTGACTTATAATCTAACAATGTAGAAAACAATACTCAGTTATTCAAATAAAATACAGATGCAACAAAATTAATATTATGATTGGTTGCAATTCAATTACTTCGCAAATAATTTTACATTTATTGCATTCATCTTTCATCTGTATGCATATTTTTGAAGATAGGTATTATCATTTTTAACCTAATTATTTCAGTTTTCTCAAATATGAAATATGTAATTCCGAAATGCAATCGAAAAATCACTTATTGTTGTCATGTATCTGTAAGTCAAACTAGTGGTTTTTCCATTAAAGTGATTGATGGTAAATCAATTTGATAAAAAGCGAAACTACTTTGCATTTGACGACACATATGCAGCTCGTTGCCAACTTTGAAAATTAAAATGATGGATTCGCTGTATTATCATAAGAATAGAATAATGAAAGGAATTTTCAGATGTATGAATGAAGGTTACAAATTCTTGGTAATGCCATCTCCAGCGCTAAGAATTAAACTTTGAATCTAATTTATTTAACACATCTGTTACTGTTTGGACAGCCTAAAGTTGAAAAAAGAAACAAGTGTTCCATTTTTCGTATAAAGAATGATGAAGAATTGATTTTTTGATTTTCAATAAAGACTTAGTCTCAAATATTGAATACAAAATTTTTTTTTCTTAAAAAAAAGAAAGGGAACAAGTTTTTTTTCTTCTTATAAGCAATATAAAATAAAAGGAGCCAATGACGAAAAAATATTATATTTTTTGAAAGATAAATTTGATAAATTACAAGAAAATTCTTCCGATTGAAAAATATTTTTTAATATGATTGCCATTATTTTTATATAAAAATCAGATTTTATGTAATAGCCACAGTGAAATACCTTTCAAAATTGGATTTTCTATTAATAGGTGCTCATATGAAACCTTTCTGACCCTCTGAATAATTTAGAAAAAGGTTTTCATTTTAAAAAAAGACTTTTTATTTAACAAAATGTTATTTTTAATAATATATCTATATATTAATAGGCTAGCAATATTTTGTCTCGCAAAAAACTCCCAAAATACGCAGCAGAATTAAACAAATAAGGTGTCGTTTTAAAGGTATTGTAATGTAGATGCGCAATAAGGTCTTAAATTATGAAAATTTCCTTTAATTAATTAATAAAATTAATAATTTAGTTTCAACCAATGAGAATTCAGCAAATCATTTTTCGGGTGGTTCGCATAAGCATTGTTTCCGTAAGCATCGTTTGATTTAAAGCATTTCTGAATTAATAGATTGATAAACAAAAATAAGAGTGGATAAAAAAACGGAACTGAATTTCTTAAAAAAAGAATTCAATATCTTTAGTTCCTTTGATAAATTTTTAGCTACATGATAAATTTTTTGTTTCGTTACAATAGAATGGCAATGGCATCGTGCGAATATTCAAACCAAAACAAACGTGCGAATATTCAAACCAAAGCAAACTCTCTACAAACAATTATTTTGATTTGAGATTTAAACGATATCTTAGTTATTTAGTTCTATTTTTATTTATTTAGTGCCTGCTGCCTAAATAAAATGCCTGCTATCAGGCGTCGAAATATCTCTGGCAGACGTCAGAGAAATGAATGGCGGAATTCTAAACGGGAAAGCATTTCTTATTGAGATATATTCTCTGCTACAGCTCCAAATTTCTCAGCTACATGAAGAAAAGATAATCAAATTGTGAAGGGGGCAGAGAAGTGTATAAATTTCATTAAGTAATTGATTTCAATATCTGGCATTTTTATTTTAAAATTTAAATTTGTTAAAATGTTTTTATAAGATTGCGAAGCAATATGCAATGGAACTGCGAAGCAGTTCTGGGGGTTGGCGAGCGTAGCGAGCAGGGGGCGGAGCCCCCTAGTNATCCATGACACATTTTACCATCGTGTTGGTTCACTTATACCAAGTGAAGGTTGTCAGCCAAAGTACGCTCAAAATTACTTTTATGATGTAGATACAGCAGTTGAACACAGAATGCGTGAACAAGCTAATGTCAAATGTGATGCGAACATTAAGCAAGAAATAGCTGTATATCTGAACAGAGTGAATTCATATGTCCAATCTTTTCAAACAATGGGTGATCTCTGTAGGAATTCCAGTGATGGAAATGAAAAGAAAATATGCATGCACATCACTGTCAACGCGTCGTCTAATCAACGACGGTACAATGATGCCACAAGTACAGATGTTGCAGCAATCTTTAGATGCGTAGATGGAGTACCTCCTGGGGAACGAAACCTGGTGGTGATGTCAAAGTCAGGTGGCATTCGCACAGTTTCTGCTTTAGACTCATCGTTAGACCCATTGGCTTATACGCTACTGTTTCCCCATGGTGATCCTGGATGGCATATTAATATTTCGCACACTGTTACAAATAATCAACGAAACAAAACAACAATGAGACAGTATGCTGCCTATCGTCTTTCCATCAGAGAAACTTTCAGTTTATTGCATCGTTCACAAAAACTGTATCTTCAGTGGGTTGTGGATATGTATGTTCGAATTGAAGGCACACGCTTAAATTTTATCAGGCACAATCAAAGTAATTTGCGTGCAGATATGTATTTAAATGTAGCTGATTACATACACCAGCGTGCAGCTGAAAACAATTTGAGAGTTGGGCGTCAAGTCATTCTTCCCTCTTCTTTCATCGGTTCTCCCCTTTATATGCATCAAAACTATTTAGATGCAATGTCCATTGTTCAAAGGTTTGGCAAACCTTCCCTATTCTTAACAATGACATGCAATCCACGTTGGCCAGAGATCAGTGAAAACTTAGCGCCACGGGAATCCTCTCATTATCGACCAGATATTGTTGTGCGTGTATTTCATTGTAAGTTGAAAGAACTTCTGGCCTGCATAGTAAAAAAACAAGTGTTTGGTAAAATTGCTGCTTTGATATACACAATCGAATTTCGAAAACGTGGTCTGCCACATGCCCACATGTTATTAACTCTTGATGACCATGATAAAATCAGAAGTGTGGCTGATATTGACAAATTTGTTTCTGCTGAAATTCCAGGCAAAAATACTCATCATAAACTTTATGAAAAAGTTGGGAATTACATGACTCATGGTCCATGTGGTGTACTTAATCCTCATTCTGTATGCATGGAGAAGGGAAAGTGCAAAAAAAAAACTTTCCAAAAGACTTTAATGAAGCAACAAATGATAATGTCAATGGGTATGCACTTTACAAGCGGCGAGATGATAGTCGAACTGTTGAGGTACGAGGCCACACTGTAGACAACAGATTTATTGTTAATTACAATCCATACTTATTGGCCAAATTTGACTGCCACATTAATCTCGAAGTTTGTTCAACTGTTCAAAGTATAAAGTATATTTATAAATATGTTTATAAAGGTTATGATTGTGCCTCATTGCAATTTTCCAAGAAAAGTGAAGGAGTGGCAGTCTATGATGAAATTGACTCCTTTCTCAATGGAAGGTATGTGGGATCAACTGAAACTGCATGGCGTATTTTTGAATATGAAATGCATTATTAATCACATAGTATTATGCGACTTGAATGCCATTTACCTTTCCAGCAGACAGTGTACTTTCGAGAAGGCAATGAAGAACATGTAGCTTCATCACCAAAAGTTACAAAGCTAGAGGCATTCTTTACTCTGAACCAACAAGATCCTGCTGCTAATAATTTGTTGTATGTTGAGATTCCACAACATTATACCTGGCAAGATCAACAAAAAAAGTGGAAAACAAGACTGCGTGGAGCTGATAAAACCATCACACGTTTATACACAGTTAACCCAAAGAATGTTGAGCTATTTCATTTGCGTCTCCTTTTACTGCATGTACGAGGACCTAAATCCTTTGAAGATTTAAGGCTGCATGATGGAGTTGTTTTTCCAACTCTTTTGAAGCAGCTTATTCCCGTGGAATTGCATCAAATGACGAGGAATGGCGTGAATGCTTAACCGAGGCTAAGGATTTTCAACATCCAAAACAATTGAGGCAACTGTTTGGCTTTATTTGTGGCATCAATGTTCCACCTAATGCTCTTGCACTTTGGAATGACTTTAAAACTTTTCTGTGTGAAGATTTCCTTAAATCTAATAATGAGGTGAATTCATTCAACATGTGTCTGTTAGAAATAGAAGAAATTCTAATTACTCACAATACATCATGTGAGTCACTTGGATTGCCCATTCTACTCAATTTACAATACGACAATGATGATAATCTATTTTATCTACTTAAACAAGATAGTTTATTTGAAGAAATGTACAAAGCAGCAAATGAAGAGCAACGTTTCGTCATTGATACAGTATTAAAAACTGTGCTATGTGATGAAGATAAAGAATCAAATGAGAAAGTGTTTTGCTTAACTGCACACGCTGGATGTGAGAAAACATTTGTTCAAAAAGCCATTTTAAGTAAATTGCGATCAATGCAGCATGATTGCATTTCATGTGCCTTTAGTGGTATAGCTGCCAGTTTGCTTGAAGGAGGAAGAACTCTCCATAATCTTTTTAAATTGCCCATCCCACTTTTAGAAAATTATGTATCTGGCATCCCAGCGAACAGCAGACATGCTATAAGGCTCCTCCAATCATCTTTAATAATTATTGATGAAGTTTCCATGTGTCCGGTCTATGCCATACAAGTAATTGACAGATTACTTCGAGACATCGCCTCCAATGGTGACAAAGAAAAGTTATTTGGTGAAAAAACTGTCTTGCTTTGTGGAGATTTTCAGCAAACTTTGCCAGTTGTACCCCACTCTGGTCGCGCAGGAATAGTTGAGAGCTGTGTGAAATCCTGGCCATTTTGGTCTCAAATCAGAAAAATGATGCTAAATCAAAACATGCGAGCCTTGCCAAGTGAACGTGAATTTATTAAATTTCTTAAGGAAATTGGCAATGGTACCCCTGATGATCTTATTGAGATACCAAACTTTCTGATCAGCTCTGCTTCTATCATTGATGAAATTTACTGTAATATTCCGGAAATTGTTCAAACTCCTGAGATAACAAATCGAGCAATATTGGCTCCGAAGAATGAAGATTGCGAGGAGATTAATCACCAAGTTTTAAGAATGATGCCAGGTGAAGAAAGAACTTACATCAGTTGTGACTCAGTGGTTACTGACAACGAACATGAACAGACTCTCTATCCCTCTGAATTTTTAAATAACCTTTCAGTGAGTGGCTTACTTCCGCACAAACTCACATTGAAAGAAAATGCCATTGTTTTACTGATACGTAACTATAACACTTCAAAGGCACTTATTAATGGTACGAGAATACGCGTCAAAAGGTTGCACCGGAACTGTTTAGATTGCGAAGTTTTAACAGGTGCTTCATCTGGACAGCGAATTTTGATTCCAAGAATAAATTTGAGAAGCTCTGGAACACTACTACCATTTATTTTAAACAGAATTCAATTTCGGTGATTCTTGCTTTTGCTATGACAATAAACAAATCACAAGGACAATCAATTAATAAGGTTGGTATTTACTTACCGCAAACCAGTTTTTGCACATGGACAGTTGTATGTGGCTGCCAGTCGAGCCCGATCATTTGATGGCTTAAAGTTTTTAATTGCTGATACAGATGAGCAAGAACATTTAAAAAATGATCAGAGAGTCTTTACAAAAAATTTAGTTTATAAAGAACTTTTGTGAACAAAACTATTTTGTTTTATGATTAATACCCATCGGAAGTAGGCAAGGGGACCTTCCAGAATCAAAACTCCCCATGAGAAATGATATATGGTGAGCTCCTCGCGGTATTTCTCGGGTAATGCTAACAGCCATACATTTAAATTTAACAATTAGGTATAACACATTTTATTCAAAATGGACTCAAATCATTAAAATGATACTCACCCAAAACACTTGAGCCTTGCCAAGTGAACATAAATTTACTGAATTTCTTCACAAAATTGACAATGATACCTCTGGTGATCTTAAAGCCATCATTGATGAAATTTACCGTTATATTCCAGAAATTGTTCAAACTTCTGATAACAAATCGAGCAATATTGCCTCCGATGAATGAAGATTGCGAAGAAATCAAATCCAAACTTTTAAAAGATTGATGCCCGATGAAGAGAGACTATACATCAGTTATGATTTGGTGGTTACGGACAATGATCACGAGTAAACGCTTTATCCCTCTGAATTTTTAAATAGTCTTTCTGTGAGTGACTTACCTCCTCACAAACTCATATTGAAAGAAAACGCCATTGTGTCGAAAATTTTCATCGGAGCAGTTTAGTTTGCGTAGTTTTAACTGGTGTTACGTGCGGACAACAAATTTTGATACAAAGAATACATTTCAAAAGTTCAGGGACACTACTGCCATTTATTTTTGACATAATTCAATTTCGGGTGATTCTATTTTTCGCAATGACAATAAACAAATCCTCATAAAAANCCTCCTCACAAACTCATATTGAAAGAAAACGCCATTGTGTCGAAAATTTTCATCGGAACAGTTTAGTTTGCGTAGTTTTAGCTGGTGTTACGTGTGGACAACAAATTTTGATGCAAAGAATACATTTCAAAATTCAGGGACACTACTGCCATTTATTTTTGACATAATTCAATTTCCGGTGATTCTATTTTTCGCCATGACAATAAACAAATCCTCATAAAAATGACGCTTACCCAAAACATGCGAACCTTGCAAAGTTAAATTTTGTATTAAATTTCTAAATAAAATTGGCAATGGTACATTTGGTGATCTTATTGAGATATATTCTCTGCTACAGCTCCAAATTTCTCAGCTACATGAAGAAAAGATAATCAAATTGTGAAGGGGGCAGAGAAGTGTATAAATTTCATTAAGTAATTGATTTCAATATCTGGCATTTTTATTTTAAAATTTAAATTTGTTAAAATGTTTTTATAAGATTGCGAAGCAATATGCAATGGAACTGCGAAGCAGTTCTGGGGGTTGGCGAGCGTAGCGAGCAGGGGGCGGAGCCCCCCAGTATTCATCTAAAGTAAAAGCAACAAAGCATGAAATCTCGAATTTTTTATTAAAATAAATAATCTTTTTTAGATAAATATTTCTTATTTAATTCTTTCGTAAATAAATAATCTTAATTTGCATTACAGTTTAATTGATTAATACATAACTTACGTCTATTTTAGGACAATATGAAATAGCTTAGAATAAACATATTTTTTTTTATTTCCAAAGAAGAAAACATACGTATTTTAAAGAAAATTCAAATGACAAAATATTTTATGAACCAAATATTTAAGTAGGCAAATTAACCTTCCTACCACATTAAAATACAACAGCAATCGTATTCACAGCACAGTGAAAAAAATATCCGGTTTAATCCTGGTGTTGTCACACATTTTTTCTCTTTGTTCCTTTTATATTTATTATCATTTAGCTGAATACTCGTTTTTGTATGGGGCGTAAGAAAATAATCTATAAATCAGTACAGAACAATATTACAAATTCATTTACCCAAATTTGAAAGGCATTTACCAACACAATTAAGAAAGCTAAAATAATTTCAATATGTTTTTGTTCTCAATAATATTTTGTCCTTCCCAGTGGCTTTATGTTATTTAATTGAGCAAAACAGGTTTTTTTGCTGTTCATCTCATCAAATTAAAGATTAACTCTATTTAATGTGATATATAACATAATGCTGTTGCTTGAGGCCAACTTATGCCAGTCAAAATTTACCACAATCGAGCAATTTCCTCTGCTGCTTATTCATTTAGAAGAGGCAATAAAAAAAACTTTTTTTATGGTACCTCTACTAAAACTCCTCAGCATTGATGAATTTTTAATATGTACCAATATTACTAATATAATACATTGTACTTATATTAGTACAACTCGTACCAATTAAATCTGCATCAATTACAATAGCACCATTGTTGCCTATTACCAAAATTAATTAAGCAATATTGGCTTTCTTAGCATGGTGATTTTTAACGTTTCTCCATTAATTTTGCTTTATGTTACACCGTTTATTCAGTTCGTCAAAATTCAGTTGGACAGAGGTGAACTATTCTCCATTAATTTTGCTTTCTAACACAATATTTATTCAGCTCTCCAAAACTGGTATGGCGATTATTTTTTCCTTCTCCTAAACTAATTAGACTATTTCTTCATGATTTTTTTTCAGTACGTAGCTTATTTTTTGTATCAAGTATCTATTATCGAAATTTATGAAGCATTATTGGCATCGATATTAATTTAATGATTTTTTACTTTTTTCTTGAATAAATTGTTACCTTTTCACTATTATTTTCGCTTTTTAGTATTTAGCTTATTTTTCACAACAATTAGTAACTATCATCAAAGTCCATTACGCAGCATTTGCGTCTATAAGTGGCAATTTCTTACTCTTCGCTTAAATAATTTTGAGCCATTTCTCTGTTAAAGATTTCTCGTCGGCCTCTTGGTTCGGCGGCAAATGTACGATTTTGCTGATTCTTGTTTCTGGTTACCATGATATTATTTGACGTCATTTTCCGGTTACCACAACTGTTGTTTATCATTATGTGATTAATTATTGTTTTATTTTCATACACATTAGTTTATTTTTAAATTTTAACTTCCGTTAATATTTTACCATTACTTGCATACTTGCTGTAAAATGCTATTATTATCTTTCATATCTGCTAAGAAGAATGTTTACAAAAATAAATTTACATTTGTTTTTAATTGGAGCGTAGTGGTAAAGTTATAATACCTGAAAACAAAATTATAGTGTTTTTGATTATTTTGTAAAGATATTTTTGTATGTCTGAGGATAAATTAATATCAAATCATCAATGTAAAATGTTTTAATATAATATGGAATTTAAAAAAATGAAGAAAAAAAACACTTCACAAAAATCTATTACTTTTAGGTATCATTCCGAAAAACGCCAAAAAATGCACCCTGTTATATATTTTTATCCATTTCTTTACTAATTTTGTTTTTTTGTACATAGCTTATTTTTCCTTTCAATAAGCACCTCTTACCGTCTTATTTCTTCAATAATAGCATGACAACATTTAACGTTTTTCGTGGCACTAGTTCTTAATTAGTTTTGTTTTTCAGTTCATATTTTTTTTCAAACATCATCGACTTTAGATTATTTCGTTTTATAGAAACAACTTTTCAAAGCATACATATAAAAACACGAACAATCATACCATAGCATATTTTAATGCAAAATTAATTGAGATCTTTTTTAATTATCTGACGTAACCTGCCTATCTACCACGTTAACAGGTTTACCTGACACAATGAATAATCACCTTTTTTTTAATTAAAACTATAAGCTAACAAATATCACCGATGCAATCATTTGAAAAAACAATATCGTCTGCATTTCCATTTTTATCGATAGCAAGTTCTGAACCAATGAGAAAATTTCTTTTCTTTCTTTTTTTAAAAGTCTCTTCTAATCATTACAATTGAAATTTTTGAATGATTTTCTACATCAGATGCTAAAAGTGCCTCATTCAGCCACTGTCCAGATTCCTGGATATGTGGCGTAGCTACCCCTATAAATATTAAATACCAATTCACTAGTATATAAGACATGTTAACTTACTACCGGAGGAACTTTTTTAATAGAAGAAGGTTGACATAGCCTATATCCCCACACTGGTGACCTCCGGACCTGATATGAACTAGCTAACATCAATGGATGGTCCACATTAAACAGTTGATTTGCTCACACAGATAAAATTCTGGAATGCTAACTTAATCTGTAATGCTTTTATAAGAGAGAGACGCACAAACTCTTAGTTTTACTTTTATAGATTAGTCACTTTTACTATCATTGTTATTTTAGCTTCGATTTAGAAAGATAAATATTATTTTTTCTGTTCCTCTATGCAAGCTATATTGTCTGATTTCTTCTAATCGTAAAATATAAGTTCTCTTAGAACTTTCCAGTTGTATACAAAGCTGTATGTGTGTCAATAAATGTTTAATGCTTAAATATGTATTTTTCTGTAAATAAACGTGGGTTGTATTGAAATTTGGAGAGATGTAAGCCTAGATAGGGAAATAAAAATGCAGATTTTTTTGATGAAATAGCAGGTCAAGCGAACATTAAATTATATTGCTATGAGGTAATATTAATTATCTGGATTCTATATGTTTGAGAATCATTTAATCACCACTTCCCAGTCATTTATGTTTAGCCTGTGTAATTTATTTTAAGAAAATAAATTAAAAAAGCAATGAAATGCCTTTGAATCTCGTCATATCTTATTTATTTGATTTGTTATACCAAGCAATATATCAACCATAAACATCTTGATAGTTATAAACTTTAAATGTATACGTATTCAATATTTTCATGTACCATTAATAGTTTTCCATTTCAAGTAAAAGTTAAAATTATTTAAAACATCGAGATCATTTGAAACATTATTAAAAATAACGAGATTTGTCAAAACATTATTAAAAACA